AATGAATGGTCCAGAAATGTTCATCACCGAGGAGATCAGTGCGGAGTTCAGAGAATCGTTGCTCGCTAGGGTTGGGTTGATGGGCGTTGTTTTCTTAAGAACACTGCCCCCGAAGTCTTCTGATGATAAGGAAACTGAGTTTTCCTTCAAGGTTGAAGGCACCGCTGGTGTTAAGAGGTTTGTCATGCAAAACTCTCATGTGAGCAGCCTTGGAAATGGTTTGTTTCATGTGAAGACAGCACCTTCAAATGAGCCTATACCTATTATTAAGTACAGTTTGCTGCCGCGTTTAACTCCATTGCCTTTGAGGATTCGACTTGTTAAGCGTCTTAGTGGGACATTACTTTCTGTAATGCTGCAGTACGTTGCAAATCCTGATCTTCCAGTTCCATTAACCAATATAACCTTTGTCCTGAAATTGCCAGTAGACCCCACATTATTGAAAGTTACACCCAAAGCTGTATTGAACCGGTCTGAGAGAGAACTGAAATGGCATGTTGATGAGATCCCACTCAAGGGTCATCCTGGTAAGCTGAGGGCGAGGTTCCCTGTAGATATTAATGATGATGATGGTGGGGAAGAGCTAGTGCTTTTTGGTTACGTAAAGTTCTCATCCCAAGGGCCTAGATCTTTGTCTGGCATTTCTATGCAGCCAGCTATAGAGGGCAAGGCCGATTTTTATGAGGTTGATCACAGGTATTCAAGTGGAGTTTACACATGCAATTAAGCATCAAAGATTTTTTATTTGTTGGTTTCAAAATTGTGTTTTTTGCTTTCTATCTTCTCGACATGGTATGAGATGTCAAAGTATTTGCAGCTTTCTTTGAATGTATTAGAATGTAATCTAGGTGATCTTTTCTTTTGAGGAATTCTTGTGTTTAAATCTTCTCAGTCGTTCTCTTTATGTAATGGTATGTGGTCCAAATAAAATGTTTTGTTTTCTGGGTCTTAACATCCGTACCTTCTCTTGTTTGTGAGAGAAATTCTGGAACATTTTGTCCTGGGAATCATCATAAGCAATCTGTCACATTTGTTGCTTTCTTCATATAAATGTAGAAGTGTTGTTTCATGGCTGTGGTTATCTTGGACCTTATATGCAAAGGGTGATTCATTCACTGCACTGCCTGAGAACTTTTTGAAGAAATTCTGGTGATTAAACAATCAACTCTATTTGTCATCAGTAGAAGTGTCGTTCGGTTGCAGAAACTTATGTTTGCACCATACTTATTTGGATCTTGGCTTATGGAGTTGTTTTTCTTGAAATCAGTAAATATTTTTGATCTATTGCTATTGGCTCCAATGTTGTGTCCTCCCTGTACTTAAAGTCACGGAATGTGGATAGGACTAGGGATACATTGTTGGTCCGAAATTCAGATTGAATCTGTACAATCTGCAATGTATTTAAATAGTTAAAATAAATCATATTAGCCATTAATGAAACTCCCATTTGTCCACAAAAGAAGAGTCCGGCAAAACCAAGCATTGAACCTGTGGATGTGCATCAATCCCTTGAAAAAGGTTCTCCGTCCCTCCTCGTCTACAGGCACTAAAATTGACACCTAGAGACAATTTTTCCACACCTTTGTACTTTGCATTTGCAGTAAACTCTCGGTCAAGTTCCCTGGTTCAGTGAATGCCCTTCTACAAGGACACGTTTAGGTTGTGTTTGAAGTACAGCTGAGCTTCAAAGAGCATTATCTGTACTGAAGAAAGCATACAGTGATAATATGCGAAAAATGTTGCATGTAGGCCCTGAGTCTTGTTCAGCGGTGTCTAAACTATTAAAAGAAGAGGATACTGAAGCTTGGGGCTTTGAACCATATGGTTTAGATGAAACTGATAGCAACTGCAAGGCTCTTGTTCACAAAGGGATTTTGCTAGTAGCAAATATCAAGTTTTTACTTCCCTACCTTTCAAATTTCAAAATCATTCTCTCTTGTCACAGTGTTGGATGCAGCGGATTAATGATCTCCAAGATATCTAACAAGACACTTCCAGAGTTGGCAAGGGTGGCAGCTGATGGTTTAGTTATTTTACCTGGTAAATACTGATAACTTTGGTCATTACAATTTTCTTAAATAGTTCAGCTGGTACCCTATTTTGGAACTGGTGATGTTCAACTGAGGTAGGGTTACTCTGGCATATTATTTACTATAAGAAGGCAGTTATTGCTGTGATGTTTGACCTTATAATAAAAACCATTTGACATGTGGCTAAAATATTTGATTGCGTTCTTAGGTTATCTTGGTCACCAAAGGTTAAAGTGGCGGAACTATCAAATTTGGCTGCCCAGTAAGTCAATGATCATTTTTTTGTATCGCTTAAGTATATTTTGATGATGGTATCTCTCTTTCTGTAGATTTAATATTCATCAACGATATATCATATTTGTTTTAAACCAGAGCTGACGCTTCCATTGCATATGCTATACTCAGACCTAATTACCAAGTTCTGTGTCGTGCATCTTGACTTGTACACCTATCACTGCAAGAAAGTGATGATACAACGGTATTTATTTAGTGACATTTGAATAAATGTTGGAAAAAAAATAATTTAATTACACCTATAAAAATGCTGTAAAAACGGCTTTTGATGCAAAATGTCAAAAACATTGTGACTTTTATATCGAATGTCATATTATTGGTCGATATTACCAACGTTTACAACTAATGTTGGATTTTTTTAATTGTTAAATGAATCATTATTTATATTTAGCACTAGAATAGAAAAACTACTGGATGCATAAATTTTATAATCAACAAAAGAGTTCGGAACAAAAAGAGGTTAAAATAATCTATTTAGGTAAGTTTAATGTTGTTTGTACAATTAGAATAAGTGAGTACTCTTCTAAAAGCAATACAAACAAAGCATAAGACCAAAAAGTCTAGAAAATTAGAACCATCAAAGGCCACTCTAGCACTCATGTGGGTTGTTTGGAGTGAGAGGAATATGAGAGCTTTTGATGGAGTAGAGAAAGATCTTGTACGCTCGAGGAGTAGCCTCTTTTCAGTTTTCCCTTATTTATTTTTGGGTGCACCCATGAAGTTCTTATTTGTATAGAAGATTGGGTGTCATTCGTAGAAAATCATGTTCTCTTGTAAGGTTTTCTACTTTTTGGTATACTCCTTGTATACGCGCATCTATTTTGCTCTTTTTAATGAAATTTATTACCTTATAGAAAAAAATGATTAGCCAAGATATTGCCACCAGAAGACACCCAATTCGTAGAAGCACCAAACCCCCGATTGAATACCAAAACCAAATAGAAGTCTATGATGCAGGTATTTCACAAATCTACTCTATCTTTTCTCAAATCCCGTCCAATTTTTCAAACTTGGTCGACTCTGGCTCCATAATGCATTCGCTCTCTACAAATTAAGTCTATCAAAGAATATGGAGAGCTTTGGACTAGTTTGGAGATTTGATTTTTTTTTTTGCTTTAAAGGTTTTAGGGCTTCCCTCATTTGAATTTCCTAAAATTGTATCTTTCTTTACTAATTAAAAATTTCAAACTACCGATGATTCTTAGTATTTTATCAAGCTTGGACTGTGCGTAAGGCGAGTGCTACTATTCCTCTAATTGAGATCCTTACTGATTGAAGAGATTTGGAACCAATAGCATTACAGATACGTAGAGATTGTTACTAAGATTTGGCGTTGGCTCTTGATTTATTCTTAAAGTAATTCTTATACTATGTTCGCACATTATGTAATTTCACGTGAATCTCTGTACATTCTATCTATCAGTCGATAGTTCGCCATTTGTTTTGCAGTTTGACGAATACATGAAATGGAGGCAACAATACTGGAATAACATTGATATAGGGTTCAAGAATCTTTGTGAGGCTTTTGCAGGTTCGAATCTATTTTCTATTTCGTTTAATAATATGGAGAGCTAATTCTTTGTTATGTAGGAGTCAGAAAAGTGTTTTTGTGTTCTAAAAGTATTTTGGAGGTTTCTTGTTTCCTAGTTAATTAGGCTCTTTATATTTGTTTGCATTCTAAAATAGATCTAGATTAAGTTAAATCAAATATTAATTTGTTATTAGTTCCGTAAAAGTTGGATTTACTCAAAATTCTATTCTGTCCTTGTTTGATTATTTTATTTTTTGGGTGTCTAGTAGTTTGATATTGCTTAGCCACCATAAAATGTTAAAATTTTTGGTTCGCAAGATTAACTTTAGAAAAAGAAATTGAATCAGGATATATTTTTTTAATCATTATTATGGACAATATCTTTTAATTCATTAGTAAAGTATGATGTAAATATGCATATGTTGTGATTTATCCTTTCTAATTTCTGAATATTATGCCTGTGTATATTTATTTTATCAATGTGTTTAGTTGATGATGAATGGCATACTTTTTTATTAACCCCCCCCCNTGATTCTTTATATGAGAACGGAGCCAAAGATTTTCTTCATTCTGCTTCATTAGATAGGCTTGATGCATCAAAAATCTTGTGTTCATGCCGAAAGTGTCGTAATATGAAATTTGTTCCAAAAGATTTTATTATTGAACACAATGTGGTTGATGGATTTCTAACTAGTTACAATACTTGGATTTTTCATGGCGATATATCATCTTCGTTAATGTCCTTTAATCAATTGGATAGGGGCGATGAAATATAAGACTTGTTACATGATATTTTTTGAGTTCCTCCTACAAGAGACTTTGTTGATATGGACAGTACTGATGATAGATTTGGTCGGTTAAATCAAACATAGAAGGAGGTTTGATAAGAAGACTGAAGAATTTTTTAACTTAATGAAAGAAGCTAAGCGTGATTTATAATTGGGAAGCAAATATTCATTACTTTCTTTCCTTGCTCGTTTATTACATTTAAAGTGTCTCAATGGGTAGAGCAACAATTTATTTTTCATGCTGCTAGAGTTGCTAAAAGATTTTCTGAAGGTAAAACATTGTCCAAGTCCTCTAATGTTTGCAAAGAATTTTTTTAAAAATTTAGAGCTTAAATACAAACAGATACATACGTGTCCACATTACGGTATGATCTATTGGAATGAGACAAAAGATAGAAGAGATTATAAGTTCTGCAAAGCTCCAAGAAATAAACAATTTGTAGGTGCATCAATTAGTTATAGCTCAGAAACCTCATTAAATTCCAACAAAGGTGTTTAGATGTTTTTCATTGATACCAAGACTTCAAAGGTTATTCATGTCATCTAAAACATCTACTCAAATGAGATAGCATGCTGAAGGTCACACTAGAGACATAGTAATGCGAAATCTTGTTGATAATATTGCTTAGAGACAATTTGATAAATCACATCTAGATTTTGCTCGAGATCCTTAGAATGTTAGACTTGATTATCTTCATATGACTTTAGTCCATTTAAGTCTATGTCTATCTCACATAGCTTATGGCCAGTTGTCTTGGTTCCATGTAACAGTGTTATAAATAGCGCTCGCCGCAGCGCTAATAGCGTGAGGCAAGGCGAGACAGTGTCGCCACAGAGCCTCTGTTGCGTTGCGTTTCAAAATAGCGCTCTCCTCTGCCTGTGTGGCGAGAGGCGACAGTGTCGCGAGAAGTGACCATAGCGTCGCCTTTTGTTTTTTTTTTTTAAAAAAAAGAAAAAAAGCAAAGACTCAACAAAAAGGGTCGCTATTAGGGCTTGACAACATAGCTTCTTCAACTTGAACAAAACAACAGAGCTTCTTTGACGTTCTGAACTCGCGAGCCATCGTCTGCCATCGTCTTCTTCTTTCAGAAGCTTGAGGTTCCAGCCATTGAAAGACCAGGTATGCTTCTTCTCTTTTCTTCTTTCTTCTTTCTTCTTTCTCCTTCTTCTCTTCTTCTTTCTATTTTTTTTCCTCTGTTTTTTGTCGAAAAGAACAGAAACAGAGGTCTGTTTTCTGCTCTATTTTTCGAGCAAAATACAGAGGTTTCTTCTTCTCTTAACAGAGGTCTGTTTTTGTGCTCTATTTTTTTTGGTTCTGTTTTGGCAAAATAACAGAGGTTGTTTCGAAACCCTGTTTTTGCAAAATAACAGAGGTTGCTTCTTCTCTTAACAAACGTTCTGGTTTTTTCAGGCCCCGTTTTGTTTGCTTTTTGCTTCAATTATTGACTTATAGAGTAGAATTAATTGCATATTGACTTGATAATTTTTTTTTCAATAAAATAGCGTTGAAATGACTTCATCCGATAGTAATAAACGAAATGATATAGCTTGGAATTATGCTATACAAGGCTCATCAAGATCCGCAATTAAATGTGTGTTTTGTGAAAAAACATATAATGGTGGGATAACTCGTCACAAGCAACATTTGATAGGTGGATTTAAAAATGTAGTACAATGTCCCCTTTGTCCGCCCGAGGTTAGGGAGGAAGTAAAAGCGTTTGTTGATAAGAAAAATGTGACAAGAACTCAAATGAATTTTGAAGCATCGGTGAATCTAATTGATGAAGATGATGAAATGGATGAAGATGGTGAAATGAGACCTCCCCCCCNAAAAACTCATAAGGTATCTTCAAATAGTTCTTGTGGGTCATCCACGACGGCACGTACAGTGACAAAAGGTCCTCTCAATCTTTATTTCTCGGCAAAACAACAAGAAAAGGGAAAAGGTGAAGAAGGTCTAGATTTAGAAGCCAAGAAGATTTTGAGGGACCGCGCCATAAGTGCCTTTGCAGCATGGATGTATGATTCAAGGCTTCCTTTCAACTGTGTTAACTACAAAACTTTTGATAAATTCATTGAGGCCGTAGGACAATATGGCCCAGGAATGAAGCCTCCTAGCTATCATGAAGTTAGAGTAACTCATCTTAAAAAAGAGGTGAAGAAGATAGACCAAATTATTGAGGAGCATAAAGTGGAATGGAACAAGTTTGGATGTTCCATTATGATGGATAAATGGACAGCACGGAATGGAAAAATGATCATAAATGTGTTGGTGAACTCTCCAAGAGGGAGTGTTTTTCTTGAATCTCACGATGCTAGCAACTCTTCTACGGATGGAAGCAAAATGTACAGCTTGTTTAGAAAGACTATTGATAAAATTGGAAAGGAAAATGTTGTACAAATTGTTACAGATAATGCTAGTGAGAATGTTAGTGCGGGTAGGATGATGGAAGCTATGTATCCACACATTTATTGGACTCCATGTGCTGCCCATTGTATCAACTTGATGTTTGGTGACATATTCAAGGAAAACCCATATGCTTCAGGTAACTTTAATATAGTTATTTATACTTATGTCCTATCCTATTAAGTATTAACTATAAAATTGTTATTGTTACTTTTACAGTTTTCACTAAGGCCGTCAGGGTATATTCTTACATCAGTCAGAGGCCGTTGTTGTTGAATTTGATGAGGAAATTCACAAATGAAAGAAATTTGGTGAGACCGGCCAAGACTAGATTTGCAACGGCTTTCTTAACTTTGCATAGTTTTTACTTGCAAAAGAAAAAATTGAGAAAGCTAGTNACCAAGACTAGATTTTCAATGGCTTTCTTAACTTTGCATAGTTTTTACTTGCAAAAGAAAAACTTGAGAAAGCTAGTTCTTTCAAATGAATGGAAAGATAATAGATATGCAAAGGAAGTTGCGGGAAAGGAAACTGCCAAAGTTCTTATTTCTCCATCATTCTGGAATGACGTCGTTCGAGCTCTTAAAGTTGGTGGTCCTTTGATTAGGGTACGTCGTATGGTGGATGGGGAGAGAAAACCACCAATGGGCTATCTTTATGAAGCTATGGATAGAGC